GAGATCGACCGTGATATCGGTAGGGAGACTAATCGTGATATCGAAAGTGAGATCGATTGAGTGACATGGCTAGTGAGATCGATAGTGAACTCGATAGTGAGATCGATTGAGTAAAACGGGTGATGAGATCGATTAGTAAGGAGATCGGTAGTGAGGTCGCCCGGGAATTTGGGAACCCGGGAACCAGAAACTTGAACCCTGGGAGCCCACCGAAATCGGTCGTGAATCAGCAATTGGGAATCCGGAACCAGGAACCCAGAAACCCATCCGCCCAAAACAGGGAAACCACCCAACCAGGAACCAGATATTTGCAACATCGCCGTAAAACGCAATGCTTATTAGCTTGATTGTGTGCTCCCTGGTCGCATGTACACATGACATATTTGCAATAATGGAAACACATCTGCACCTATGGGTTCTCTACGTGTGCATCTATGAATATAGTTCTGTATCTCGAAATCGGCCTGTGGTGTCCCGTGGCTGGATTGTGAGATCGATAGTGGGATCAATCGTGAGATCGACAGTGAGATCGATAGTGAGACCGATAGTGAGACCGATTGTGAGTTCGATAGTGAGACGGATAGTGAGGCCGGTAGTGAGATCGATAGTGAGACCGATGGTGAAGACGATAGTAAGGTCGATAGTGGGACCGGTAGTGAAGTCCATTGAATGAAATCGATACTGAGATCGATCGTGAGATCGACCGTGCGATCTATTGGGAAATTGACCGTGAGATCGACAGTGGTATCGATAGTACGGTCAAAAGTGAGATCGATAGTGAGATCGATGGAGAGGTCGATAGTGAGATCGATCGTGAGACCGATCAAGAGGTCGATTGAGTGAGATCGGTAGTGCAATCGTCATTTGTAACGATCGTGGGAACGATTCTAATATTGATAAAAATAAGTCGACGGTGAGATCGATCGAATGAGATTGATAGTGAGATCGATCATGAGATCGATGGTGAGTTTGGTCAACGCATTGATAAAAAAGATCGATCGGGAGATCGACCGGGAACCCGGAAACCAAGAAACCCCGCCGCCCACAGAAATCGACCCGGAACCAGCGAACGGGAACCGAGGAACCCGGAACCAGGAGCCCGGAAACAAGGCCGCCAAAATCGGATGAGAATTTTCGCTAAATTTTTCAACCTCCGTTAGGACCCCTTCAGTGCAAGCACTGATTGGGGAAAATGAAAGCACACGCGTGAACACATAATTATGAACGTAAGCAGCGCGTGCACGACAGGGAAAAAAATGGTACACAGGCGGAACAGTGGAGGAGCCCGCAAGGGTGTATAGAGGGACTTGGGGCTTTCTCCGAGAATGTCTCGGGCGACTGGGGCCTCCAATCGGGGAACAATGACGCAGACATAAACTTTTGGAGGCCCGCGCGGATTTCTCGGATTGGCGCTGGGCCCCCTCCCTGGCGCTCGGAGCGCGCCAGGGTCGGTGCCAGAGGCGCCTCCACACGGGGGCCCCGCGCCGATCCGAGGAACCCGCGCGAGCCTCCAAGAGCTCATGCTCATGTCATCGTCCCCTACGGAGGCCCCCAGACCGTGCATTGACATGCCGCGCGGCGAATCGCCGAGCGCGTTCCGCTGCTCGCAGGGTGCCTACTCGCAAACGCCCGAAAAGCGCATGCCTGCTTCGATGTAATTTTATCGTAGATCACCCGCAGCGGATCCAGGCCATTTGCGAGCAGCTACTTTGCGAGTAGTGCAACGCGCCTGTCTAGTGAAGGCTTTCGAGATTTCGAGGTCACTGGAGGAGGAGGAGAAGGAAAAGGAAGAGGAGGAGGAGGAGGAGGGAGGAGGAGGAGGAGGAGGAGCGAGGAGGAGGAGGAGGGAGGAGGAGGAGGAGCAGGAGGAGGAGGAGGAGGAGACGGCCCGTCGTCGCACCGCTCCAGCGCCCCCTTACGAGACACACGTTGCCCCGCCTAAGCAGGCACGCGCGCGGCCCGGGGGAGCGGGAGGGGCCGAGCAGTAGAGGTTCTGCCGGTGCTCCTTGGCCGCCGGGTGCGCGGCGGCGCCGGGGCGTCGTCGAGGACGGGCCGCCGCCGGCGCTGGCTCCAGCCTGGATCCGCCTCCCTTCTTTCGGATGCAGCTCCTGGGAGGTCAAGTTCTGATTTTGCCCTGGTCCGAAGTCTGGCTTAATCCGGCGAGATCCCGCTTCATCCCGCTTGATCCGGCTGAATCCCGCTTAATCCGAGGCCCACTCTTGCACAACAGCCCCCCAATTAGGCTTAATCCTCCTTAATCCTTCCGACGAGAGCCTCCCAGTAGTTGCCTCCTAACCTCCTCGTCCGCCCTCGCCCTCTCTCTCGCGGGACACGTAGCGGCGCAGGCATACAGTCAAGACGCTGAAGTGAGGACGCTCTGAGTGTTCGGAAGGGGCCCGCCGTTCTCAGGTTGTTCAGTGGTCGTTTCTCTAGCCTTCTGATGTTCCGGCCTACTTTATCCTTGATCACCAGGAACTTCGAGCACCAGGAAAGTACCGAAATTGGATGGTTTTCACGTGTCGGGCCCTGGGAGATACTCGTCCGACACTGTTTCGACACTGCTTCGACACTTTTCTGGGTGCTCGAAATTATTCCTGGGTCCCTAAGTACGATGGGAGCAACATAATTTTAGCCCTGGTCGTGCACCCAGTTTCTTTATGTGCCAAGAAGTAGCTCCGTTCCTTTTTGTTCTGCGTTCCTTACTGCGTCAGCTTGACTGTCAACTGTCTGACATAGACGCAGACGGCTGACTTTTCAAATGCGTCTGCAGTGTCTCGGCGCCTTTGCCGATTGGAAGGTGCGCGATCTGTCGCGCCGCCTTCCGCGGCTGAAGCTCTGCCCAGAATCTGTCAGTGCAGATGCCCCGAGGACAACAAACACAGAATCTGTCAGCGCAGATGCCTCGAGGAAAGCAAACACTGAATCTGCCAGCGCAGATGCCTCGAGGAAGAAAAAAACAGAATCTGTCAGCGCAGATGCCTCGAGGAAAGCAAACACAGAATCTGTCAGCGCAGATGCCTCGAGGAAAGCAAAAACTGAATCTGTCAGCGCAGATGCCTCGAGGAAGGCAACAACCTGACTGCACACTGCCGGAGATCTGCGTGGACCTCTCACATCGGCGCTGGGCCCCTGGCGCAAGAAGAGCCGGGGAGCCACAGGGGAGGGGCCCTCTCAGAGGGCCGCTCCCGAGCGGCCCGCGCGGCGGACCCCCGACGGCTCTCGTTCTTCCTGCAGGTTGCCCGCCCGCCTCCTCTCCCGCCTCCCTCGCTCAGGAGGGAACACACACACAAACACACACAAACACACACAGACACAATGAATCGTCGATGCCCAGGAAAAAGATATAGGGAAATGTGGGAAGTAGTGGGGGGGAAGACAGGAACAGAGAAACTTGTATGGGGAAACGTGGGGAATCCTGTGCTCTGTGTCTATTTCTTTGTGTGTGCCATGGCCCCTTCACTCGTCCCTACCTCCCTCCCTCGTCCATCCCTCCATCCCTCTTCTTCCTCTGAGAGAGAGAGAGAGAGAGAAAGATTTTACAGAGAGTGACAGTTGGCGGAGGGGCCACTTCCTGCCGAAAACGCAGGCGAGTGGCGCAGTCTAACGTCGGATGTCTTTCGGCACGAACGAAACGGGTACGGACGGAATGGGTACAATGCCCAACAGCAGTTCCTGTTCATTTTGAACAGGACTCGCTGCCGGTGTCGCCGCGGCCTGTGTCCATTCGAGACAGAAGGCCGCCTGCCCAACAGCGGCCGCCGTTGGTTCGGAACAACACTCGTTGTTGGGCATCGTGCCCGTTCCTTCCGTGCCCATGTCTCAGGAGCGAAAGAAGGACGTACATGTACACGAATCTACGCTGTTTTCGAGAGCACGCATTTCACAAATGTTCGCATCACGCGGCCCGTCTCGCGAATCGAGGGGCCGTGTTCATGCACATAGCTGGGCGCGTACGTCCTTTGTGGGCTCCCTAATGCCGGGCGCCCAAAGTTCTCTCCCACGTTCGGTGACGTCGCTCTTCGGCCCCCGAGGGCTTCGCGTAGGCGCCTGCCCCGTGCGGGCCACACTCGACAGGACACCCTGGCGCCGCCTCCAGCGGCGCCCCGGGGGGCGCTCCGCGCCCCGGGGCTGGGGTGTTGAGAACCTCGTCCTCCTCCCCCGCCTCCCCCTCCTCCTCCTCCTCCTCCTCCTCCTCCGCCTCCTCCTCCTCCTCCTCCTCCTCCTCCTCCTCCTTCCTCCTCCTCCTCCTCCTCCTCCTCCTCCTCCTCCTCCTCCTCCTCCTGGGTGGGGCCCAAAACCCTTCACACCTTCCAGAGCAGGTTGGAACACCATAACCTGCTCTAACACCCTGGGGTGTTAGAGCAGGTTATGGTGTTCCAACCTGCTTTAACCTTGACCACCAGAAATAATTTCGAGCGCACCCCCAAACTCAAGGGTTTTCACGTGTTGGGCCCTGGGAGACACTGCGTCGACACTCTTCCGGCACTCCTTCGACACTTTTTCTGGGAGCTCGGAATGATTTCTGGGATGTGGTCCTGAAATACGATGGGAGCAACATAACTCGGGGGGCCCTGTTGAGGCCAGCTGGAACTACTCGGTTGGCCTGTTGAGGCCAGCTGGGACCACCCTGGGGGCTGTCCGTGCGCGACCCGAAGACTTGCCGGTGGCCTTCCCCGCTTTTCTGGCTCGCCGGTTTATTCAGGCTTCCTCGCCTGGCGTGCGCAGCTGCGCCTCCACGCCTCGCGGAGGGCACCACCCTCTCTGCCCTCCGTCCCTCCTGCCTGCTGAGGGCAGATGCATGGAACCCAGCGGGAGTGCCTCGACAGACCTGCGGCTGGTTTGAAGCCACAGGTCCTCAGCCAAGCCGACAAGAAGGCCAGGCGGTCGAGCAGACTCTCACGGGTCAAGAGGGGCAGACTTGCGTCCGCAACGGGCTCCTCCCCACTCCAATCCACTCCACTCCTGTCTGCCGCGGCGCGCGCAGCCGCGGCCGCAGCGAGGTCGGCGCCCGCACCGAGATGCCCGGGTGCTCGCTGTGCATGGGCAACCAGGCTCGGGGCCGCCGCCCCCGCCGTGGCCCTTTCTCGGAGGGACGCCACACAGTATACCCATCGGTCGTTGAAAGTAGGTATTTTTGGATTCCCAGATTCCAATCTACTTTTGGCGCCTTCCTACTTCAAGGATCGACTGGGTTCCTTCTCTTGCCTCCTCGTCGGGGGGCGGGCGGAGGCCCAATCCACTTCCAGTGCCTTCCTACTTCATAGTTCTACCTACCTCTTCCGACCGATGGGTACGCCTCCACCGGCCCTGGCCAGGTCTATCCTGGGCCCCGGACTGCTGTGCGGACCTCCCGGCCCCCTGGGCCAGGAGGGCCTGCACACCAGCCTCTAGGGCCCGGGAGGGGCCTGGCCAGGGCCGGCGGTGGTGTCTATTGCAGCTCTCGCACAGGCAGCCCGTTCCCTCGCGCTGCCCTCCCCTTTTTCCGCCCCGCCCCTCTCCCCCCTTTCCCCCTCCCCCTTGTTCCGCCCCGCCCCTTTTCCGCCCTTTCTCCGCCTTTCCCCCCTTTCTCCCCTTTCTCCGCCTTGCCCCCTCCCCCCTTTCCCCCCTTTCCCCGCCCCGCCCCTCCCCCTTTTCCGCCCCGCCCCGCCCCTCCCCCCTTGTTCCCCCTCCGTCCTCCGACCCCCCCCTGCCCTCCGCAGGCACTTCCCCGCTCCCTCCCCCGCTCCCTGCGACTTGCTCCCCTGCCCCTCCCTCCGTCCACGCGTGCACAGTAGGAGCAGTATACTCTTCTCCTCTCGCCCCTGGCTCTGTCCGGAAGTTGCCCAGCCCTCTCCGCGTATGGTTCTTTACCCCGGGTTGGGCAATAGCGCTATGGTCATGATGCCGGTCTGCGGTGTTTTAAAATGAGGTTCCTGCTGCAGCGAGGGCCTCCTTTCTCGATCGGCGCGTTGATCCCGCTGTTCAGAAAAGGCGCTCTCGCCCCAGCGCGGGCCACTCTTCTGGATCCGAGCCCTTCCCCATCCTTGTCGCCCCCTCGTTTCCCCTCCGCCTTCCCCTGGTCCTCCTGCTCCTCCCGCCCCTTCAACTACAGTTCCCGCCGCTGCTGCTCGTCCTCCTCCTCCTCCTGCTCCTCCTTCCTCATCCTCCCCCTTCCCTTCCAGCTCAGCTACCCCTCTCCGAGTGCGGACAGCACGATTGGGCCTCTTTGGGAGTGACGGGTCCGCTATGGCACGCATTCGCGGATAGCTGGAATACAAACGCAATGGGAAGGGATCGGTGGGAGGGTCTAGGATGTGAGACATGATGCGAGCGCACCTGGCTTGGCCCGTCCCCCTCCCCCCGTTGCCCTCTCTCGGCCCCTCCCCCATCCCTTCTCCGTTCCTCCCGCCCTCCCCTCCGCCCAAGCCCCTCCCCCTCATTCCTCCTGCCCTCGCACACCCTGGTTCCCGCTGCATCGTGCTCCCCATGGTCCTTGGGCTGCTCCTCCCCGTCGCGGCCCAGCTGGGGCCACCCCCGCCCTCGCACCTCCTCGCTCCCCGCTCCTCCTCGCTCCTCGCTCCTCCTCGCCCCTCGCTCCTCGCTCCTCCTGTTCCTCCTCCTCCTCCTCGCTCCTCCTCCTCCTCCTCTCCTCGCTCCTCCTCCTCATTCCTCCTCCTCCTCCTCCTCATCCTCCTCCTCCTCCTCGCTCCTCCTCCTCCTCCTCCTCCTCCTCCTCCTCCTCCTCCTCCTCCTCCTCGCTCCTCGCTCCTTGCTCCTCCTCCTCCTCCTCCTCGCTCCTCCTCCTCCTCCTGGCTCCTGCACGGCTTCGTCAGCTGCGCAGGTGCGCCCCGCCGCGATTCCCCGATGTCTCAGCTGCAGCAGGCTGGGGACCGGGGATAGGGGGCCCGTCGTCTCGCCGTCGCGTCGGTCGTCCCTTGGGGCCGTGCCCTCCCCCCTTCTGCTCCTCCTCCTCCTCCTCCTCCTCCTCCTCCTCTCCTCTCCTCCTCTCCTCCTCCCCTCCTCCTCCTCCTCCTCCCCCCTCCTCCTCCTCTGCTTCCTCCTCCTCCCCCTCTCCCTCCCCCTCCCCTGGCCCTGGTCGCCTCCCTTCGGTCGTCCCTTGGGGTCGTCTGCTCCTCGGCGTGGTCGCCTGGCTCGTCGGGAAGAGAACCCGTCGAACTTTGCCGGCCACTACTACGACGACGCCGACGACGCCGACGACGACGACGACGACGACGACGACGACGACGACGACGACGACGACGACGACTACTACTACTCCTACTCCTACTCCTACTCCTACTCCTACTCCTACTCCCACTCCTACTCCTACTCCTACTCCTACTCCTCCTCGTACTACTACTACTACTACTACTACTACTACTACTACTACTACTACTACTACTACTACTACTACTACTACTACTACTACTACTACTACTACTACTACTACTACTACTACTACTACTACTACGACTACGACTACGACTAACGACTACTACGAACTACGACTACGACTCGACTACTACTACTATACTAACACTACTACTACTCTACTACTACTACTACTACTACTACTACGACTACTACTACTACTACTACTACTACTACTACTATACTAACTACTACTACTACTACTACTACTACTACGACTAACTACTACACTACTACTACGACTACTACTACTACTACTACTACTACTACTACTACTACACTACTACTACTACTACTACTACTACTACGAGCTACTACCTACTACTACTACTACTACTACTACTACTACTACTACTACTACTACTACTACTACTACTACTACTACTACTACTACTACGACTACGACTACGACTACTACTACTACTACTACTACTACTACTACTACTACTACTACTACTACTACTACTACTACTACTACTACTACTACTACTACTACTACTACTACTACTACTACTACTACTACTACGACTACTACTACTACTACTACTACTACTACTACTACTACTACTACTACTACTACTACTACTACTACTACTACTACTACTACTACTACTACTAACCCCATTAAACGACAAACAGAAAAGTTCATCACTCCCGCGCCCCCGCCTCTCTCGCAGGAGCCGTGCCCCCCGCCTCCTCTACCCACAACCTCAAACGAGCACAAACAAGCATCACCAACCCACATAACAAAAATAAGCAGCCTTCCCAAGGCTACCTTTGTAGATGTCGATAAATGGGAAGGGAGCGTGCTGCCAAATAATTCCCAGATGTCTAAGCATGTTTCAAGCATGCTTTAAATATGTAAAAAACATGTTTGACGCATTGCTAGAACATGTTTTACACCTTTTAAACACATGTTTAATTCAATGATCGGATTGTCAGAGTGTCCATTGTCATGGCATCCACAAGGCTACCGTTGCATCCCTCCCTCCTCGGTCCATCCTTGGCTACGTTCGTTGGCCGCGCCCCGCTCGAAAAGCTTCGACACGGGCGCCCAAGGCCCTCGCGCCGCGCATCCTCGCGATCCGGGCCGGCCGTAGCCTCGAGCGCGTGTGCAGAGAGGCAGGTGGGGATGCAGCACCTGCATCGAGCTCGTCGCAACCACAGCTTTCGCGGCGGCCTGTGCTGGGCCGTGCGCGAGGCTCCTCGCCTCTCGCTCTGTCACGACCCGCAGCATTGCCAGGAGGAGGAGGAGGAGGAGGAGGAGGAGGAGGAGGAGGTGGAGAAGGAGGAGGAGGAGGAGGAGGGAGGAGGAGGCTGAGGGAGGAGGAGGAGAGAGGAGGAGGGGGAGGAGGGAGGAGAAGAATGTAATGCTGGGCCGCCCCAGGCGCGGGTGGCGGACAAGGCCACGGTCGTCTCGACCTCCACCAGGACGCCGCCTGGCCCGCGCGGGGTCTCTGAGTCCGCGGGCGTCTGCCCATCTCGCCGCCGGTTCTGGCCCACCGCGTTTCGGCCTGTGATGCCCCAACGTATTTTAACCTTGATCCCCAGAAAGAGGTTTGAGCACCATGAGAGTAAGCACCGAAGTTGGAGGGTTTTCACGCGTCGGGCCCCGGGAGGCGATACTCGTTCGACGCTGGTTCGATACTGTTCTGGGTGCTCGAAGTTATTTCCGGGCAACATAAGCTTCGGCGCGAAACGCTAAGCTCTGGACGCCTGAAATGGGTACTGAAAGAGAATGGGTACCATGCCCGACAGCAGTTCCTGTTCACTTTGAACAGGAGTCGCTGTCCACGCCGCCGCGGCCTGTGTCCATCCGAGACAGAAGGCCGCCTGCCCAACAGCGGCCGCTGTTGGCTTGGGACAACATTTGTTGTTGGGCATAGTGCCCATTTTTTCGGTACCCATGTCGGGCGTCCAAACAAGCACTTCCCCGAACCCAGGCGTCAACGTCCCGAGCCGTTGGAAGCCTCCCGACCGTGGAGCAGAGCGGCACGCCACTGGCCCGCAAGGCACGGCGCGCCGCACGGGCCGCCGACGCGAGGCGCTGGGCAAATGCTCCCGACCATATTGGACTCCTTCTTCTTCTTCTTCTCCTCATCCTTCGTCTCCTCCTCCTCCTCCTCTACCTCCTGCTCCTCCTCATCCTCTTCCTCTACCTCCTCCTCTTCCTCACCCTCCTCTACCTCCTCCTCCTCCTCCTCCTCCTCCTCCTCCTCCTACTCCTCCTCCTTTCCTCCTCCTCCTCCTCCTCCTCCTCCTCCTCCTCCTCCTAGATCCCCTCCTTCTCCTCCTCTACCTCCTCCTCCTCCTCTCCTCCTCTACTTTCCTCCTTCCTCCTCCTACCTCCTCATTCCTCCCCTCCTCCCTCCCTCCTCCTCCTCCTCCTCCTCCCCCCTCCTCCTCCTCCTCCTCCTCCTCCTCCTCCTCCTCCTCCTCCTCCTCCTCTCCTCCTCCTGAGCTCTCGCCATGGTGCCGCCCGCACCCGGCTCAAGCAGAAGCGTGCAGCAGCTGCAAGTACGGAGGGCGGCTCCTCCCCCGGATGCTGCTCTCGCCCCGGCCCAGCGCACGCTGGCTGCGGAGACCTCCATTAGCAGGCAGTGCCAAGGGGGGTCACCACTGGGGGGGTCGCCAGCTTCTCCTGGAAATCGAGGTTCCAGGATGGAGAGTCGAGGGGTCGAGGATGTTCTTGGACGTTTCTCTGCGTTTTCGGGGCTCTGGGGGGCCCAGTTCCTCGAGGAAGTCTCGAGGAAGTGGCGCTTGCTCGAGGAAGTGGCGACCCCCCTAGTGGTGACCCCTTTTTGCACTGCCCCACATTAGCAGGCACAGGATTTGTAAACCGCCTTTTCCCGCGTGCGCGCGTTGCTTGCACACCAGAGGATGTGTTGTGCTCAGCGCACGGTCTGCCCTCCAGGGGGCCGCTCCCGATACCGGAGCCGGCACACAGACTTCCAGTCCATTCCATTCCATTCCATTCCAGCAGGCGCAGGGATGAAGGACAGTTCTTTTTCCACATGGCGTCATCGCTGGGGCTTCCTCACATAAAGACAGAAGCTGTAAACCAAAGGTAGCATCTGCGCGAATGGAGAGCGACTCCTTCTCGAAGTGGGGCTCTCTCTCTCTCTCTCTCGGAACTGCCTCGAAGCGCATGACCATAAGGGCAAGCCCGTGCAGCAGTTGCACAGGCGTGGGGCGTGGTTGTCTCCCAAGGCGGGGATCTTGTTGGGCACCTCGCTGAACTGCGTGAGCATCCCCTTCTGAAGTTTCCATTTCTACTCTTAAGTCGGGCACGTCCATCTACAGGAGGAATATTCAAGAATAGTAAAAATAGTATGGGGGCAATGTTTGACTATTCTTTAGCATTTGGGGATATGTTATAATATGTTTAATGTTTCGCCCAAGGCCCCCCTGTAGGGGGACATGCCCGACCCAAATCTACTCGCTCGAATGATGCAGGGGAGCTTCGCTTCACGATCGGGCTCTCTCCTGAGCGGCAGGCAGGCTCACGGGGTGGTGGTCCCTCGGGGGGGGGAGCGCTTCTGGTCGTGAACGCGGCGTGCATGGACCGCGTGGACTTAGAATTAAGTCGGGCCTGTCCCTCTACAGGGGGAATATCCAACAATAGTAAAAAGAATAGTCTGGGGACTATTTCTTGAATATGTTTGGGCATCTGTTCGGCATGTTTGGAGTATGTTTTATGTCTCGTCCAGAACCCCCCTGTAGGGGGACGGGCCCGACATAAACTCTGAGGGAGGAGGATTTGGGACGCCAACGTGCGCCGCGGCGTCGTCTGCGCCTCTTGGGCCGACGGCGTTTTTGGCCGCGGCGTCGTCTGCGCCTGTTGGGCCGTCTCTGCGTCCCTCCTCATCCTCCTCCTCCTCCTCCTCCTCCTCCTCCTCCTCCTCCTCCTCCTCCTCCCTCCTCCTCCTCCTCCTCCTTCTCCTCCTTCTACGAGCCGCAGCCTTCTTCTTGGGCCGACGGCGTTTTGGCGCACTGCGACACGGGAGAAGGGCTCGACCAGACGAGGTCCGGCCGGGCTGCCCTCGGCCCGCCGAGCGCCCGGCCAGGCCCAGCTCGGCCCGGGCCGGCTTCGGCTTCTCCTCGCCTGCCACCCTCCTCCCTCCTCCTTCTCCTTCTCCTCCTCCTCCTCCTCCTCCTCTTCCTCTCCTCCTCCTCCTCCTTCCTCCTCCTCCCCCCTCCTCCTCCTCCTCCTCCTCCTCCTCCTCCTCCTCCTCCTCCTCCTCCTCCTTCTACGAGCCGCAGCCCTCGTCGCGATGCGATGCTAGGGCCCTGGCGGTAGCTGAGTCACCGTGGATTCAAGCTACGTGCGCTCCTCCTCCTCCTCCTCCTCCTCCTCCTCCTCCTCCTCCTCCTGTCGCCCGCGCTGGGGGCCCCGGCGGCGTTGTCAGGAGACTCGGCCAGGCCAGGGACGCCCCGCCCCCCCGTCGAGGTAGAGCGGTCGGCACGGCTACCTCTCTCTACGCTCGTCTGCACCCCTTTTCCTTCTACAGCTGTACGCTTACATGTGTCCACATAGATCCTATATATATATATGTATATATATACACATGTTCACTCCGAGTCTCTCAATAAGCGTGGGAGGGTACCCCCCCGACGGGGGTCAGCCTCGCCTCGTCGTCGCGCCGCGACGGGGGTCGGAGCGCCTTCGGCGCGCGGTGGCTGCCCGCGACGGGGGTCGATGCGGGGCTGTCGGCGGGGGTGACGCCCCCCCGACGCTTATTAAGAAACTCGGAGTGTGTATATATGTTTATGCATATATACATATATACATATATATACATACATATATATATATGTATATATATATATAGTTCATTACCGTCTGACCGTCCAGACGTGTCGCTAGGGCGGGCCAGGCGTTTGACCCGAGACTTCCGTTTCAAAAGTTACCAGCATCTGCGTGGACGGAGGGTGCTGTTTGTTTCAAGCTGCGGCTGTCGCCCCAGCGCCACGCGAAGACGACCTAACCGTGTCCTAGAGATACAAGGATGGGGGGTCTTCTCCACAACGTGGCCGTTGCCCCAGGGCTGTCCAAGATGGCTCCGAGATTGCCCAAAAGGCTCCCAGCGGCTTCTCAGGGGTGCCCGATATCGCTCCAAACCAGCCAGGGGCTCCTCGAAGACGGCCTCAAGTGTCCCCCCATACGGCCCCAGGCCTCTCCAAGGCAGCCCCCAGAGCCCCCCTCTAGGACGCAGAGAGGCCCAACGAGTCCCAAGAGGAGGCCGAAGCAGCCCTCGCACGGCTCCAAGATGGTATTGTGGTTCTCTTGGTTCTCTGTCTCTTCTAGTGCACATCCCTCGGCCCCAGCTTCCCCCGTCCCCGCCCTCATGCTCCGATATTTTAGCATCGTGCGCTCGCCGCCACCCGCCGTTCTTCTCCGTCGTCCGTCGTTCCTAACTCCTCCTGCGCGTGCCCCGCTGGCCAGCGTGAAAGCGCGCACCCGTTGTCTCAAGACGGCGCTCTTGGCAAGTTTCTCTAACGTTGGACGCGGTGTCGCGTTGGCGTGAAGACCTGTGCTCCTGAGCACTGTGTTGACAAGTCGCGTCCTTCTAGTGATGCCCGTGCCGCCGTTTCAAGAAACCACTTCTGACAATGTGCGCACAATATCTACGCGTCGGGATCAGGAGTGCTGCGGAACAGGTGACATCAAGCTTTCGTCTGAAGGACCGCTGAAGCGGGATTACGCCGACGGAAGCCAGCCGAGATGAAACATATAAACATCCAAAATATTGTCAGACTAGTGTGGTTACGTTTCTCCGAATATGCAAACATTTGTACGACCGCGCTCGCTTGTCGATGCGGAGGTGACGTTGTGCGTATATCTATATACACACGTGTATGACTACTCTTCGGATGAAAAGGAGGTTCGCTGGGGGAGGAACCAACGTCTCACTCTTTCGATCTTACGATCGATCACACTATGAATTTACCGATCGATCTCGCTATCGACCCACTTTTGACTCCACTATCAATCTCACTATCTATCTCATTAGCGATCTCACAATCGATCTCACGATCGATCTCACTATCGATCTGAGTATCGATACCACTGTTGATCTCTGATATCATTGTCGATTTCACTACCATTTTCACGTTCGATATGCTACTGGTATGGATATCACAATCGACTTCACTAGCGATCTCGCCATCAATCTCACTGTCGACATCACTATCGAACTCACTATCGACGGGAAAACGGTCGGGACAGCCGCGGGACACCCGCGGCCATCGCGGGACTACCTGGGGAGGGCGGTCTTTTGGCCCGGCGCCCCCCACAGTCAGAGAAGGGTCCATTTCTTTCGCCCGCCAGCGCAGCCTCGCCTCGCACGCACGACGCGAACACGAAACCGAAACCGATACCTCGGGGCCTTCCATTTCACTGTGATTATCCCCCCTTCGCTTCCGACGTC